CTCAAGACAAACAGGAGCGGCGACCACATATCTCTGACAACAGAAGCGAGGAAGTTTCCAAGAGGTCAGTATGTGTAATTTTCGGTTCACTATCTCACTCTCTCTTCTTCGGGAGATTGTTAACGCGATATACACGATGAGCGACCGATCTCACAAAATGTTGACCGAAATTCTGAAATGCGTTTTCGATCAGGAAGGACTACTTAGTTGCGGTTGTAAATTGATTATCTTGCTGCATAATCCTACAGTATTTCGGACTCGGCAGGATGTCAGCCTTTGAATGCACTGCTTTTTAATCTACTGTAGAAATGAAACTCGTTAAAAATGACTATTTAGGTATCATGCATGACTTACATTGATTTTCGATGGTACTGCAAATTCAAATATATTTTATAGAACCCACGAACAAAAATATGCTTTCTCCCAGACGTTTGATAGTGCATCATGCTATCCTTATAATTTATGCTTAAATAAGGTATATAATTAAGTTTTAAAAAGTGTTTTATTATGAGAGACAGTATCGCACCCGTTCTTTTACCACTGCTTCTCATGAAATGTACAACATGATCCGCATCCATTGTAAAATTATGTGGAATCTATATGATATCTTCGTTAAGGCATAGAGGAATATGTGAGTTTCTTTACGCGAACCGCATGCACTTTGTAGACTGTGAACACTAAGCGCTAATGCAACGACTGAATGGGCTCCAAATTATTCGGGAATTAGAAAACTTGTTTAAAACCTAATTATACTTCTTCGAGCACAAAATGTAAAGATGACGTGACTCTCTATCAAACGACTGAAGGAAAGCTTATGTTTCTTCGTGTTTGCTATGAAATATACTTGAATTTACTAGACCAGCGAAAATCAGTGTGAAAATGCAGGCTACCTAAGTAGTCATTTTTTACCGGATTCGGTTACCATAGGAGATTGAAAAGAAGTGCATTCGAAAGCTGGCATTCTGCCAAGTCCGAAATATTATAGCATTATGTCACAAGGTAATCAATATTACACTCGCGCCTAAGTAATCCTTCCTAATCGAAAATGCGTTTCAGAATTTCCGCCAACGTTTCGTGAGATCGGTCACTCACTGTATACTCCTGTAGTAATACGGACGTAGGAGAACCTTTCGTTTAACGTGTCCCTTACAAAGAGCAATTGAATGCGTCACAACACTTAAATGTATTCATTCAGGCTTCTAATAAAAATATGGCGAAAATCACATTGCATAGCTACTTTATACTATCTGAACCCTTCTAAATCTAAAGTTTACAGTCAACATCGAAACACATATTTCTTGTTATTTAAGTTTTTATGGTTTAACATATACAGCAGCCTGCCTACTTTGTAAGATTTGAATCAAAATCCTGAAGTATGCTTTCTATAAGTGAAGAAGAAGATTTGAGCACCGGAACACTTTGTTTATTGTCCTGAGCTTTCAGACTCGTACAGGAGTCCATCGTCAGAGGTAGTGGCAGAAAGAGAACAAGCGGCAGTTATAAGGCATGTAGGCCCAATCATCGACCAACGGCGCAAGACTGGAGGGGACTACGCAGGGCTCTGTACGCCGGCGCCAAATCGATAAATCGATTGACCGAGTTCTCACCCGAGGCCCAGGCTTCAATCAATTCTCGGCCTGTTTTGTTTCCCGCGTGGGCGACTATTTCGCTGTTTGCGAAGTTAAACTCGTGACCCATTTCGTAGGTGTGGGCGACCACTTGTGATAATTCGTCGCCTCGTCGCACAACCAGCTTAAGTTCGTGTATGCGCGATCCGCGCATGCGTCCAGTCTGTCCTGTGTAGTTACAAGGACACTTTTGACACGGGATGCAATACACTACTCCTGATTGCTCTTCAGGCTTTAGTCGGTCTTTGATTTTCATGACCCTATTGCGCATGGTGGCTTTGGGACGGTGTGCAATCCCAACACTTAGCTCCGCATCAATGCGCTCGGTCGCTTCTGAAACACCCCTGATGCATGGCAGAGAACGCCATTTCGTCGGTGGCGTTGATGTTCGAGTTCTCTGGTGGCGACCGCGTAGTCAGCGACTTATGGATACACTCGGATAGCCATTTTGCACAAACAAAATAATAAACAAACAAATAACAAACAAATAATAAACAAAGTATTCCGGTGCTCGAATCTTATTCTTCACTTATGCACACATCTGGAACTCTAAATTCTGCCTTTGTATGCTTTCTATTGTGAAGGACTTTTTGGTCCTCTAACCTCATTACGGCGGTCCGCAAACACAACAGTCCCTAAAGACGGCTGCTTAAACAATCTACCATTTTCTATTTATCTTTAATGCCTTCATAAATTAAAATCTATTCTACAACAACCATGTCCAATATGTACGTTTGCATTCACTTGACATCACGTTACGTTTTTTTAAATATTTTAACCGAGGAAATGTTAGTTTGCGGTCCTGAAAAAGCATATTATAACTTATTTTTTATGACCGAAAAATATCCCTTTTTAAAACATTGTACCTGTCTGTTTATAAATTTTGCTTATGAAGTATACAATACGGACCGCATTCACCGAAAATTTTCATAAAGTCCCCTGAATAACATAAAGAAATCTATGATTTTCCTCGCCCGGAAAGCATACAGCGCGCGGTTTTGAGATCGTAAACGCAAGTGCGACTGCATGTTAGGTCAAGCATATTTCGAGAATCGAAAAAAGCGTTTAGAACCAGAAATACTCCTTAATCATGTCTAAAATACGAAGAATATTTGATTTTTTGACAAATACGAGCAAAAGTACTTTTATTCATGCTTTCCATAAGGTGTGCTTGAGTGGACAAGAACATCGAAAGTCAACTGGATCATTTCGGGTTGTTAAATAATCACTTATTTTGGAGTGTGATTTCTGCAGACGGTCAGAAAGGAGCTCACTTAAAAGCCGTTATCCTTTGGTGAATAAAATATCTTGGCATTATTCCGTGCAATAATAATAATTGCGACTTTAACTAACTAATCGTTTCCAATCGGAGTCATATTCCTGAACTATGATTAGCTTGTCGTTATACATACATATATATGACGTTTGGAAGAGATGCAATAATCTGCAGAACTTGAGAATACTTACTGCGAGCGGACAGACAAGCACTGCACCCCGTGGTGCAAATCAATAAGAGAGAAGCATAACCGACGATCATTTTCAGGGAAATGAAAATATGCTTTGCCTGTCTAGACTACCAGACATTCCAAACGAACAGCTTTTTTTCCAATCAGACACACGCGCCGTATACAGTCCTTGCCTGTTTGTCAGCAAGGTCACTCTTTGAAGGCGGATCAACGAACTATTTTGTTGCGGCTGCTGTAGAGAGCAGTCGTGGAAAGTCTTTAATAAATGACAGAGCTAATTTTTTTACACATACATATACACACATGTGTACGATGCCGCTTTAGTCATAAAACGTAATACCGCAAATTTGAAAACATCATCTATGGAAAAAAATTACACTGCACATATTTTTACCCGTTTAGCTCGTTTCGGCGTAACTTGCTCTCCCTTAGGGTAGTTTATCCTAAATGAAATCTATCAGACATAATTCGGAAAATAGTAACGTACACGAACAGTAATTTATTAAAAATTTGGCGGGAATACAGTGTCGCAACACTTAGAATTGTCTATTCCCCCATCAGCCTGTCTTACGGGCGGACTACTACTACTACTACTACTACTACTACTACTACCACTAATACTACTACTACTACTACCACCACCACCACTACTACTGCTAATACTACCACTACTACCGCTGTTACTACTAATACTACTACCACTGGCGGGAATACAGTGTCGCAACACTGAAGAAAACTTTTTCCCCCGTCTACCACCACTGATACGGCGAATACTACAAATAATCCTACTATTAGTACTACTACTACTACCAACGCCACCACGGCTGCCAATGCAACTCTACCAACGCTTACAATATGGGTAACTAACTGCAATAATACTTGCATCAGTAACGGAGTGTTGCGACACTGGTATCCAAGCAAAATTTTTTAGGGAGAAACATTTCCGGGCAAACGTCTTTATTAAGCAAGAGAACATTTATATGAAATCTTCGTTAAGGCTGTTCGTTTTATGTAGGCGATGAGGTTTTATGCTTTAGGAGTTCGTGCGTATTGCGCACACGGCTCTCTAAATGCATTATAACGACCCAGAACTCAACATTTCGATACATATATTTGAAACATGCGATTTTGATAGTGGAAATAGACGCCAATTATTGCCAATAGAAGCGAAGAGACGAGTCCCAGGAAGTAGTTTTGAAGAAGGCGACACGATCATTGGGACAAGAGCTTTATTGGCCTGACGTTTTGGATTCCTGCTCGAGCCCATCATCAGAGACAAAAGCAGATACGGGTGGTTCATGCACAAGGGGCTGCAGTATTTGTAGGATGCAGTCACCATGCTACCGCATCCCCATGAACATTCACGGCTCCCCCTTCATCCGGGATCTTTGCACTTGGTGTGCTAATTGTTTGATGGCCATTCTGTGAATACTGCTGACCTTTTTGCATGAACCACCCGTATCTGCTGTTGTCTCTGATGATGGGTTCGAGCAGGAATCCGAAACGTGTCTCCTTCTTCAAGTCTACTTCCTTGGACTCGTCTCTTTTCGTCTGTTGGCAGTACATTTCGACGCGATGCGCTCCGATCGGCCCGGCGATGGGAAACCTTCGCCCTTCGGGAGGCCTCCACGTATTCGCAGTTCCGGTTTCTGCACAAGTGTCTCGACAATAATGTGCTATCGAAATGTGTTCCATACAAGCTCCCGATTAACACGGATTTAGCGAGACGGGCAGTATTTCAACGCGGCAGAAGGATGATCCGAGTGCTCCTCCAAGATTGCCACGCGAGACTTCGCAAGTACCGTCAAAGATTGACCGAGAAAAGACCAGATGCTGTGAGTTGATGGGCGAGATCGGTACAAATATGGTCCTGCAGAAGGTAACTGAACAAACCCGCGAACAGAGAATGATACGCGATGCAGCACTGGAGAACAAATTCCGAAAGCTGCCCAATCCAACATCGCCCAGAAACGACAAACTGGTGCACAACCTGTCGTCCAAGGAGCTGACGAAGAATCAGATGCAAGTTTTACGGCATGAAGCTTCATTTAACACGGCTGACGGCAAACCTGTTAACATGATTGCAGCAGTAGAATCAACCCTTAGTCAGACGAAGACAACGGAGGAGGCTAAGAGCCTCATCCGACACCAAGTGTCGTCTCTCCTGATGGCCCACAGGCCATGGGAAGTGCTTTCCAATGTCGAACGTGATGCGTTTAGAGAATTCAAGGTCGACAAAGACCTGGTCATCGTGCCACCGGACAAAGGGCGCGCCACGGTTGTATTGGATAGGACAGAATACCTTCAAAAAGCCAAGGGTTTACTGGAGGGCCGACAGGTCTATGTCCCATGTGCAACGAACCCCTAAAAGGCGCTGACACGCGAAATTAATGCTACGTTGTTGGCCTTGGAGAACTGAGGTGCAATAACACCGACCGACAGACTCATGGCGAGACCCCAAGATACGGCATTGGCCCGATTATATGGCCTCCCTAAGTTGCACAAAGACGGCGCTCATCTCCGACCCATCGTGTCACTCAAAGGGACTCCACCGTACGGACTGGCGTAGTGGCTGTTCCGGCGTCTCAAGTTCCTGACCGCCGAGTCAGACACCACGGTCTCTTCGTCAGCACAATTCCTGGAGAAACTCAAAGGGGTAAGCCTCCATCCAAATGAGGTCATAGTAACTTTTGATGTTACATCCCTTTTTACTTCTATTCCCCAGGACCTGGCGATCGAGACAATCGAGCTGCTTCTACAAAGCAAATACGATGAAACGGAGAATCGTCTTGGACACGCCAAATTCCTTCAGCTCCTGAAGTTCTATCTCAGGACGTACTTCACGTTCGACGGGACAATCTACGAACAGGTGAAGAGCACACCAATGGGTTCGCCAATTTCGGGATTCATCGTCGAGGCGGTCCTACAACGGTTAGAGTCACAGATCTTTCAACACCACAGACCGAAGTTCTGGGCCCGGTATGTGGATGATACCTTCGTCGTTATCAACCAGGATCAACTGCTGACATTCAAGGAACGTCTGAATGCGGTCTTCCCGGACATACAATTTACGATGGAGGAGGAAGAGAACAACCAGCTGACCTTCCTGGATGTCCTCGAATGCCGCAAAGATTGTGGTGGACTAAAGATCAAAGTGTTCAAGAAAGCGACAAATACGATGCAGGTACTGAACTTTAACAGAAACCACCCAATCAGCCACAAACGCAGTTGTGTAAGGACGCTCTATTGGCCTGTCTAAACGCACTGCAGTGTGCCGGAAGACAAGATTGCCGAGCTACAATACATCCGACGGGTCTTCAAAGCCAATGGATACTCGCGCAACTTCATCAACCGGTGCATACACAAAAGTGACGAAAGGCCTAACCGCATGGACACCAAATGTTGGCGAGCGCTTCCGTATGTCAAGAACGTTTCGGAAGCTGTCGGTCGCCTTCTCGCACCACTGGGGCCTGGAGTTGCACACAGACCGGAGGCAACCATCAGGCGTCAGGTAAAGAAAACGAAAGACACACTGCCACGGCTAGAAACGTCTGGAGTCCTTTATCGGAACCGGTGCAGTTGCGGACAAAGCAACTTCGTCAGAGAAACTGGAAGACAGTTCCGAACGAGAATGGCCGAACTCGCTGCAGCGGTGCGGAGAAATAAAGCCTTCTCTCAAGTTGCGGCTCATTCGACAAGATCCGGCCACACATTCAAATTCGAAGAGGCCTTAATACTCGCAAGAGTTGACAACCGCCTGAGCCGGTAGCTACTTGAATCATGGTTTACTGCCCCAGTCCATTAACAAGTGCAATTAACTTCCCCTTCCATACTGGGTGCTGAGACTTCGCCTAGGCGGAGTAATTAGCCACGCGGGGAGCGCACAAGTGAACACTTTTCCCAACACCAGGGTCAGTGTGTCAGATTGTCGAGCAATCATCACACCAACATCCAACGCACGTGATGAATTTGCAGCAATTAACGACTCGAATGTCGGCCATCAAGCAATTAGCACACCAAGGGCGACGATCCCGGATGAAGGGCGAGCCGTGAATGTTCTCAGGTATGCGGTAGCATGGTTACTGCATCCTATAAATACTGCAGCCCCTTGTGCATGAACCACCCCTATTTGCTTTTGTCTCTGATGATATGTTCGAGCAGGAATCCGAAACGTCAGGCTAATAAAGCTCTTGTCCCAAAAATCATGTCTCCTTCTTCATGACGCTAATTATATTAACTATCATTTCGGCCGGTCAACTAAAAACACGGAATAATGTGAGACGTTCGGTGATATTTCTAGTACATCCTCTACCTCAGCGGATCCCACCGTCGCTAAATGCCCCAACAGGAATGTTGTTGAAACAAAGTTCTTCATATACGCAGAAAATAATATATTTGTGAATGCATATGCTCAGTGGGTTCAAATTAATGCGTGCTGAGCATGTGACTTTATGGAAGCCATAATTACTACGCCTTATGTGTGAAAAAATAAAATGAAGTATTGTTTGATTTAAACAATACGATCTTGAAAAAAATTGCGTCGAATGCCTGCAAATAGATTTCCAAGCAAATAATCAAACATTACGCACTTCATTTTATGCAGAAGGTAACATAACACCCATTTTGTGGAGGATATTTGCGACAAACATATGCATAACTGTTCTTTTGAATAATTACTATATGTGGGCTGTTTCATTTACCCAGCCAACAGCATATAGATAGTCATTACGGAATGCCAAAATCCGAGTTTATTCAGTGGACATACATTTTTGCGTTTGCGATATTTCCGCTTCAGTAGGTTAGTATTTCAAACCGGCCAAACAGAGTGTTAGTATTTATTTTGGGTTTTTGTTTAATTTGAGCAGGTTCACTATAAATTTGAACTGGTTTGACAACATCGACATATTTTAGTCAAGTTTAAGCTGAAAAGCAAAGGCAACTCAAGGCCTGCGTGAACTATCGAATCGACGCCAATAAAGCGGTTTTTTCCGCTATCGCTGTTTTGTGCAGCAGCGACTAAGAAAGAGACAGCACAAATAAACAACTGTGCACGCAAAGGAAATCCAGGGATGTACCGACTGAACTGCAATCAAGAACTTCTTCAAATCACCGCGGCAGCCTACGATCACCTAACTTAAGGAACCGTGACGCTTCTCAGCACTAATGGACAGACTCTTCTAGTTAAAATCATTTCACATTGTGGAGTGTCTTCGTAAGTGGCCTCAACGGAAGTGTCCTGCGATGTCGCTATCGACCACTTCCCTCAAGCAAGAACCAGAAGCAAATTCGATCTGCTGCCTTCTCTTCCAGAAGCAACCTTTCAACTCTTCAGCAGCAAGGCACCGGACTCCGACACGTTCCCAACAGACGGCCCCGGCTGATGAATCAACTCACAACGCTATTCCAAAAGATGTAAATCGGAGGACAGGTTCCTCGGGACGTCAAGGATGCGACAGTCGTTTATCTCTATGAGCGCTAAGAGAACCAGTAAGTCTGTGATAACTTCCAAGGACTCGTTCTGCTCGAAATCCCCGGAAAGTCCTTCACTCGCATCCTCCTCAAATTGGGGACTTCTGCTGGAAAGTCTGGACTCTGACGCCACTGCGGAAACACCGACATGATCTTCGCCGTCCGCCAGCTGCAAAAGGAGCGTTAGAGAATGCGGACCCATATCTACACTTCGTACGTGGACTTGAAGAAAGCCTTTGAGGGGGTGGACTGAGATGAATTGGGGAAAATCATGCAGGATTTCGGCTGTCCTGTGCGATTCACTCTGCACGGCGGGATAATGGCGTGCATAACGGCCAACGGGACTGTCCCCGAGGCATTCGCAGTGACTAGTGGAGTGAAGCAGGACTGCGTAATTGGCCCAATCCCCTTCGGCTTCAGATTTTCTGGCATGCTGATAGACGTTTAACTTGATGAGTGCTCTAAGATTCGCATCGCCTACGGGGCTGACGAACATCTTCTTAACAATCGGCGCGTGCGGAACTCACCACGTCTCTCTACGACTTACATGCATGACCCGCTCTTCGCTGATGACTACGCAGTCAACACCGTGTCAGAAGTTGACAGGCAACGGAGCATGGATCTCTTTGCCACGGGTGTACCCACTTCGGGCTGACCATCAACGCGGATAAAACGGAGGTCATGCATCAGTCCCCACCCCAGGGGTGCATACAGTACTCCCCTCATGCACTTCAACGACATCCAACTGAAGACCGCGGATACCTTCGCCTACATGGCAGCAAACTCTCACGTCGCATCAAAATGGAAGATGAAGTGTCTTACCGGACCTCCAAGGCTAGCCAAGTCTTTGGCCTGCTGCAGAACTCCGTATGGAATCGTCAAGGTATCCATCTCAAATTAAGCTGTAGGTGTACAAAAGTGCCATCATGTCGACACTGTTATGTGGCGGGGGGATCTGCATAATTTACAAAAACAAAGCGCGGAAAATCAGTCACTTCCACCTCAGTTTCTTCGCCGGATACTAAGGCTCTGACAGGATAGGACCGTGGACACTGTAGTTCTGGAATGACTGAAATCCTCAGAACCCACGTCATGCTGTGACAACTGCCATTACTTTGGAGCGGCCAACTCGTGAGGATGGACAACGGACGCCTGTCAATATAAGTTTTCTACAGAGATATCTCCACGGGTTCTTGCCCACAAGGAGGTTAAACCCTTTACTGCAAGGACACCGTGCAGAATTCTTTCAAGCGGATATAGACCAAGCCCGTCTCATACAGAACCGACTTGCTAGAGAAGGAGCAGCGAAAAGAGGATCAGCTACCTATAAAACCGACCGCACAGTTCTCTTCACGTCTCTCTACGACTAACATACATGACCTGTTCTTCGCTGATGATCGCGCGGTCAACACCGTGTCAGAGGCTGACATACAACGGAGCATGGGCCTCTTTGCCGCGGGTGTGCCAACCTTATACAGATACAAGACTCAGGTGACCCACGACGCCAACTCTCAACCGATCTCAGCATGCTCACGTCGTCAAAAATTGCCCCGTGTGCGGATCGACCCAATCAGACATCTCTGGACTTAATACATCAACTCGACTGACCCAACCGTTGTCTCTCTGAGCCCTCCCTGTTCCAACACCCACGTCGTCCACTACAACGACCCTGCTCACCGCGAATGGTCAACATCCCCGTGCGGCACCGCCGTCGGTCGCTGCTCTGTCCATTATTCCTGCCACAACCCCCGCGGGGACAACCACCGCTAGAGCTTCTCCCTTCACAACTGGAAGTAATTCTCGCAAAGAACCACCCTCAATAAAACCACCCCATTTTTCAGTGCTGTGGACTCGATGCTAGCCTGTCCTTATTGCGCCTGCCTTACGCATCGGCCTGGTCGGTCACTTGCGAATCCACCCCACTGCAACCGATGCGCCAAAGTCCAGAGTCCCCGCATACGCTTGCCATCTCCGGCTTCACAGTCTACACTGACCACACACATCCATACCCCGGGTGAACCTATTCTGTTACATGCATGCGGGCAGCAGCGGAAGTCACTGCACTCCAACCATCCCTATCATCCCTTCCCATCAGCTAGTGAGCCCATCGACCAGCAGCATAGAAACAACAGCCTACTCGTCATCCTCCAACCTATCCTGTCCACACTGTCATCGTACGTTCACCTCAAGCATCGACCTGGTTGTCCATTTGTCAGTCTGTCGCCCAAAGACTGGCGAACCAGTGCCTGGATCGCCGACATACACTAGAGGCCATCGCCTCAGTTGTTCGCACTGCTCTCGCACATTCAGCCTTCGCAAGGACCTATTAGGCCACATATACACTCATGAATGCCTGCGATGGAACACTACCGGTTCTACCACATCACCACATAGATCATCGCCAGCACCAACAGCACACCTGACCACACCTAACAACACACAACGAAAGCACGTGCTTGGAGTCTCTCGTGTGTGTGTGTGTGGAAAGTGTGTTCCTCGACTCCTTATCCATGCGGTTCCCTTGCCGCGTGTATGATCCGAGTCTAATACTGTCAGGATGCGCTAAGCCTCGTGACTTGGAAGACTGCCAACTGACTTTCAAATTCAATTCATGTAGTCAGTCCAGTGTCTGTTTGTGTAGAGTGGCAAAATGGTGGACTGAGGATTAAGCTTTTTTTGTCAAATCCAAGCTGTTGTGTTTGGGTGCCTATGTAGCACTCGCTGACGAGGTCATTAACTAATGTTGCCCTTTAATTTCCACTGAAATTAACTGCTAGCTTGGGGTAGATCAGTTTGAACTAAGGTCTATAGACGTAGATCGAAAAGTTTATGTATGAGTACTTGGGCCGATGTCCATCGGCTACAGCGAGATAACCGCGATAGGCAGTTACAGTAGATGGGCTTACTCATGAAATGTCAACCAAAATTCCGAAATGCGTTTTTGTTTCGAAAAGATTAATCAAGTAGGGTTGTAAAACTAACCATCGCGTAGCATAATTCTATCATAATTCAGTTATCTCAGGGTGCCGGCTATCGAATGAACTTCCTTCGGACCGCTTGCCGAAGCTATACTCTGCAAAATATAACTGTTTATGTAGCAGGCATTTTTCGCATTGATTTTCGATTTTCCCTTAAAGTTCAATCATATTTCATGTAAAACATGCATAAAGTATTCATGCTCCTGCTCATCCGGTAGAAAATTACGTCTTTTTCCAAATTTATACTCGAAGGAAGGGTATAGTTCGCTTTTCGAAAACTGTTCCTATTCCCGAATAATTTTGAATCCGCTCTACCGTTACACCTGCATTTACGGTTTCCAAATCACAAGCCACCGCATTTCTCTACGGTATTGAAATGAGACCGTATAGGGTTCATTGAGTTTAGCATTGGATTTGATCCATATTGTTAACTTTACAAGCCACATTGGTAAATGCAGAGACAAGACGTTTTATGAACGACCATTTCACGGTATTTAAAAGTCTCACAATTAGAAACTTTTGTAAAACATAATTGTGTCCCTCCTTTTAGTATCAAATTGAAAGAAGACCTAAATTTCTACCGAACGAACAGAAGAATGAATACTTATATCCATGTTTTCGATGAAACATAATTAGACTTTTAGGGTCATCGAAAATCAAAGACAAAAATGCATGCCACATATGTAGTCATTTCTTACAGATTATAGTTTGTGCATGCAGCCAAAAGGGAGTTCATTCGAAAGCCGGCATCATGAGGTAACTGAATTATAATAAAATTATACTACAGACCCTACTTAATAAATCTTTGTGAAACAAAAACGTATTACGGAATTTTAGTTGACGTTTCATAAGTTAGCCCGCCTAGTTAATTTCGATAGCGGGTGGGGTAAGGGCTGAGATTGAATTGATTAGGAGGGAGTTTGCAGCCCTGTCGAACCTCAACGGTCACTAACAGTTGTCCCGTTGCCCGTGACAAAAGCCATCTACCCTCATTTAACGTTTCGCACCTTTTGCGTAAACGTTCAGGATATTTGGAGTCTAACAAGATTTCGTCGAGCCCGCCACGGTCCCTAGTGTTAAAGGACTTGTTCATGTCGACGGCGGTGTGGAAACTGGTCCTTATTTCATCAACAACACAACCCTTTTTCACACTACTAGTATTTACGCCTGATTGTATAAATTAAGTAACTGTCGACGAAAACATGTAGCATAGGATAGTTGGCATTTTGTTTTATGAATACCGCCTATAAAAAAGGTGCCACTGATTAGGTAAACATATTACGCGCCATGAGACGCAAATGTCGTTTATTAAAATGTCATCAATCTTTAGTTAAATCATTATGGTTGTAAGGGATTAAAGTATGAGATACGGTAGGAAGTATGCATGTGCTTTTATTCTCCAGATTTCCTTACTAAAGAATGCGTGCTGAATCACTCAACAAATCCGTAAATCATAGTTTCCTAAATAGTATAAAACTTATTCCGTATCGATATAACCTCATTGATTTAAGTATACATAACGAATGTTTACTAACCTGCAGAAAAGCTTAACTTTCATTAGATCGACCAATAAAACTTATCCTTCAAAACATTTTATTGTCAACCTAGTTACGCTAGTAATAAACGTGCCCAATTAAGTGGGATAAAAGTTTCACTTCGAAGTCATCATAAAACCGTCAGGGGTCCGATGAATTACTAATATATCTCTAGTCAGTCTCGTTTTCATGAACATGTCGTCAAATTAAATTAAATTACGCACAATTCGTTCAGTAAGGCTTGTTTCAATGACTTTACAGTCAACGTATTGGATTCTTAGCCGAGCATATCAGCAGACAGGGAAACATTGTTTTTCGTTTTCACTAAACTGTGCGTTGAAAAACGAAAGTTAATCTAGCAAAATTGATCTTTTTCCTTAGCAGTCTTTATCACCAAATTTCACAACTTAGGAATCGTTCTGTGCTTTAATCTAAGAGTACTAACATTCAGCGGAATCAACGAAATTCCACTTTGCGCTCGAGAGCAACTTTCATTCACATGATTGAGGGATGCTAAAATGGCCTCTAGTGAACTGCTGTATGCAAAATAAATGTGAGGCTGGGTTTTGTACTGTAAGACATGTTTGTACCAAATAAGACAAATAAACGCGGCAAAGGTTATGTTTGGTTGTGCGGAAACCACGTCCAGAATGAAAACGCCGTTTATAGCCGAAAACTTCGAACTCATTGCAAAAAGCAACAAAGCACTTTGATAGCCGCTTCGCTAAGAAGTGTATGCAGGCAAAGCAACCACAATGTCTGTGTAAAAAATCCTCATCGCATCAATCCTGAAAGAGCAAGTTTGTTTCATCTGCCTGCTTTTAAACGGCATTGTATGACCGAAATAGCGAGGCGTTGTTAATCCAATTTTTTTCAAAATCCTCACTTTGGCTACCGAGTAAATCATGCGCATTGTGGACTGCAGCAATTAAATTCCTACGCATTAAAAGAGGTTAACTGTCGGATTTAGAGCAAAATGTCTAATCACCCTTATTATCTCAATGTGAAAAGGGTTCAGGCCTATTTTTTAGGCGAAGGCAATAGGAGCAGTACTTGCCGTATCATATGCAGTTAAACCCCATGCCTGGATACTTACTCGATGTTGGCAAACAGCTGCAGTTAGGCAACGTCGCTATAAACCT